ACGACCCGCAGGAAGACCTCCAGTTCGATGGCAGGATGCGCCGAATCAGTTCGCTGGATCAAGACGAATGAAAATGGCACATAAAAGAAATTAATGGCAAAGTCTGGAACAGGTTTTCTTCCAGCAGTGGATCGACAAAGGCTGACGATGAACATTAAACACAGGATGACAACTGGCATTATAATCACAAGCAAAATAGGAAAGACTGGGCGGATTAGAAAGAACGGAAAAAGTGAGATTGTGATGGTTCGGATCATTGCATATAACAGAGATGATGATAATTTGACTACCATGGGGAATACGACTATGTTAATCGGTATGACAACGACTGATAATGCTCTTGCTACCGATGACAATGACGACGACGATAACGACATCAGTGATGAGGACGGTGATGACGACGCTGATGATGATAACAATGACTATCAAGATGATAATTACTATGATAACTAACATGACAGTAGCGACAGTGATAATGACTACAACCATGACGACGACGACGACTATGATAACAGCCACTAATATGACGATGATTATCATGATGCCGATTATGGTAGCAACGAACGTCATGACATTTACTGTTTAATTCTGTATACTTTTATCTTTTCCTTTTACCCATAAGAGCCGAAAAATCAAATTCCCAATTAATTATGTCAATCCCCTACACATAATCGAACTCGTTCCACATTTCGTTCAATCGAATTCCTACGGAAGCAGCTGAAACAATCAACAGCCGTAAGGCTAAGGGAACTATAATTCTTGCTTTTCACTCTCACACATGATGGAGTATGTACGTCATCTGTTACCTGGCATTTTTTGAACGGCCAGACCTCGAAAAATGCCTCTTCAACGGCGCTGCCAACGGCAGACAAGTCGGCGTCTCTTCCTCGCCGTTCAGCCTCAATACCGTTTGCTGAAGAAGCTCATTTTCGTGGCGCAGGGCCTTCCCCGATAGTTCGTTTGCCAAATGCGTAAAGTCAGACAGCATCTTCGAGTCGGAGTACGACAGCGGCTTGACCACCTGTTGGCGCTTGTGCTTTTGTCCGTGTTGTCTGAAAAAAGAGACGTTAACCTTGATATGGAGAGCATAATCATTATCATATTTAAACATAGTTGGTGTCAAAGAAGGTATGCCGGCAAACAACCCAGTGACGTTTTCAAGTATGAGCCATTACATGCTTAGATGACTGCAAGTAACGAGACGATAAGAAATAAATTGTAAAAAAATTCTGTTCAATTTTCTGAAATAATTTTATGAAGCAATCAATTTAACTAGAATTCATATTTATAATTCTCTAACTTTGCGAATGGAAAAAAATTAAATATCGGGGAACAGCGGACTAGAAATATTCGTAGTAACGCTCAAATGCACAGAATCCTTAAAATACTTGGAGGAAAACTGCGATGAGAGTGCCACAGCAGAGCAGTCTGCAGTAAACAAGGCTAAACAGTACCAAAACACCAGAAATATCTGTTTTACTGTGTAATACGCCGACATGTTTGTATCTGACAAACCCTGGTTGCAAACATGCATATGAAGGTGGTGCAAGATGGCGCTCAACGCATATGCTTATGAAATGCAGCGATTGTGTACAAACTCTATACTGTACCATTATCAGTCAGTCAGTCAGTCAGTCAGTCAGTCAGTCAGTCAGTCAGTCAGTCAGTCAGTCAGTCAGTCA